ATACGTTGTTACCAAAGCTTTTCTTTTAACGACAAATGTTGTTGCTAAAACCCCGGGGTAGAAGATTTTCTTTCTAGAAGTGGATCTACTTTTTGTTTAATTTACATATGCATAATTTCACCATCGAATGCATACTTCTTTTTTAGAAATGTAAAACAACTATTCACATTGTTTTGGAAAGTAGAAAATTTTTCTGTAAAAGTACGCTTTTTTGTTCAAAACACACTATTTGCATTGATAGGTTTTTTACCGTAGACATAGTTGTTGCTTAATTAATAGTTTTAGACAAATATATGTAATTTACTGTTGAATGCCTAAAAACAATGCAAAACAGTTATTTGCATTGTTTTGGACGGTATGTGTCTTTCTCTATGTTAGAAATATGGTTTTTTTTTTCCTTTTTTTTCTTTTGTCAAAAGATATGATAAGCTTTTGCGTTTTCTTCTTCTTTTTTTTTCGAACTTTTATTCCCCATACAACTTTTAGAAAACTCTTGCCCATCATTCGTATGTATTTATTAATAAAATCTAAACTTCCAAACATGCAGGTTGTCTCTGTTAAGATAATACGCAACAGGCATACCGGCCAGTCCGAGAGGTACGGATTTATCGAGTTCAGCTCTCACACGGCAGCAGAGACTGCCCTTCAAGGCTACAATGGCACCACAATGCCTAACGCCGACCAACCTTTCCGCCTCAATTGGGCAGCTTTCAGTGGCGGTGGTGGCGACAGGCGGCCTGAGGCCGGTTCCGATTCTTCCATTTTCGTTGGGGATTTAGCCGCTGAGGTCACAGATTCACTTTTGTTAGAAACCTTTGCCAGTAAGTATCCATCTGTGAGAGGTGCGAAGGTGGTGGTTGATTCCAGCACGGGTCGCTCGAAAGGCTATGGGTTTGTCAGGTTTGGTGACGATAACGAGAAGTTGAGGGCACTGACTGAAATGAATGGCGTGCTTTGTTCGAGTAGGCCGATGAGGATTAGTGTTGCCACTCCAAAGAAGCCCTTGCTACATCAGCAGCAGTATGCTTCTCAAGGTAGCAATCTATCAACCCATGGTTTTTTTTGTAGTTGTTTGCTTTTGGATTGTTTGACATTTCGACTTTTTTTCTCTTGTTGAATTTTTGGACATGAATATATGAGTGTTGGGATGACCGTTTGGACTGTTGGTGAAAAGATTGTTATTTTGTTGGTGTGAAAAATATCGTATAACTTCTGGCTAGTAGCATGTCTGCATCTCTGAGTTCTTATCAAGGTTCGGAGAATTAGATTGGTCACTAACCGGTGGAGATATAGGTTCAAATACGAATGTGGTACTTTGTATTTTGAAGTATATCTTAAGCATTAATGAATGTAGAATCATAAGATAAAGAATTATATTCAATATAAATGGAGTAAATTGCTTGATGAAATTAATGACATTGTGTGAAATAATGAAATATGTTTTTTTTCCCTTTTTTATCTTCTTTAAATTGTAAGAATATTTTTTTATTTAAAAAAGATGGCTGGATCTTTTCAACAAATTTATTACTTCTAATCATTGTTTGATTGCTGGATCTAGTTTTTGGTCTAACAATCAAATTGGTCAGGGTGATCTAGCTTTAGAACTATAGTTTTTTATTTCAATAGATCAAATTAATTATATAATTAATTAATTTCCCATGTATAGATTCCAGCCTTGTCCACGATTTGTCAGTTTGATCGTCATTCCCAAAATTGGCTGCAGCATCATTTTTTCTTCAATTATTCTCTTTTCAGCCTCTCTCTCTCTATGTGTGTGTGTGCGTGTGTGTGTTCTTGTGTTGTGTGTGTGTGTCTGTGTTCTGATTAAAATCAGTAAGGGTGCATCTATGGAAATGTGTTTAATTTGCTGTCAGTGATGGTTTTTTTTTAGTATGGAAATTATTCAACAATTCTGACATAAATCTTTAATGGTGATTGTGGCCGGTGGATACGCATCTAATCTAATGTTGCCGTGTACCTAGGTCAGCCAGAGAGTGATTTATCTAACACGACGGTGAGTCCTGTTCCATTTGGAAGTAAGTTATCAAAAACATATCTCGTGATTGATATAAATTACCGTGTTTTGATTAGATATTTGTGGGCGGACTCGACTCTGATGTCTCTGATGAAGAACTCAGAGGGTCCTTTATTGCATTTGGTGAAGTCATATCTGTTAAGATACCAGCTGGAAAGGGATGTGGTTTTGTACAATTTGCAAACAGGTAGTATTGTGGTTTTGTTCTGCAGTATTTCTTTATTACGCTTTGCGGGCCTTAGCTGTCCCCTTCATGATACTATTAATAATAATGACAATAATAGTAATCATTTTCAATTTTCTGTTGTCTATGTAAGAAATTCTTATATACATTTTCGTGTGTATGAGATGTAGGATTCTGCTGCGATATATTTAATTTTTTCATCAATATTTTAATGTCCAAGTTCGAGTAACCGTAGATGGTGCTTCCGATTTTTGGTCTATAACAGAAGCAGTGCAGAGGAAGCAATTCAGAGATTAAATGGATCAGTTATTGGCAAGCAGACAGTTCGCCTTTCTTGGGGCCGAAGCCTGGGCAACAAGCAGGTACATCTTTTTTACCCCTTTAATGGCTTGTGTTTGGAAAATATCCCATGTCAATTCCATTCTGGTTTGTGCAAAACTATAATATCTTAGAAGTGAATAATTGCAAAATTTATCCTTGACATGTATGTAGCCAAATAACAAAGAATTATCAATATCGTTAATATTTTTCCAATGCTATTAATATATCACATGCTTTCTATCTTTCAAACTATTTCCACCGAGGGTTCTTTGCAAGAGTTTGAAACCTTTGGAACGGTATTCATAAGATGGTAGTCCCCCAAAGTTAGAAAGGAATTAGTGACCTCTATACAATCTACGTCCCTCCCCATTTTCAAAAATTGTCTAATTATTTTTTATATATTCTGTTTTGTTTGTAAACCGTAATAAAAGTGGAACGGGGCTCAGTATGGGAGGCAAAATTACAATGGATACGGATATGCTGGTGCAGCCTATGGCACATCTTCAAACGGCAACATCAACAACCACCAGCAGCCAGTAAGCTAATAATCCTTTGAGCTTCCTGCGAATAAGCTCGTCAGTGTTTTTTGCCCGAATGAACTTGAAATTCTGAAGTCTGGTGGGATTTGATGTGGTAACTGTATGAGACTAGCATTCTTTTTTCCTATCTCCTTTTT